GCATTTTCTGATTTCATGAAATAGTATTTTTCGTTTGTTGTGAAATAAAAGATAAGGCAGGTCTGTTAAATCAGTAACTGAAGTCATTGAAAATAGCTTTTAAAAAACGATTTAAAAAACAAGTGATGCCTCAATCCTGAAGGTAAAAAGTCTCCCAAGGTTGGTGAAATCAATAATTTTATGTTTGTCTGTCCCTAGTATGGGCAGAACCCAAGATAAAGATAAAACAAGTAGCACTGACCCAAAAAGAGAATCGAAGGAAAAATGTCTACTCTGTAACAACAGAGAAATAAATTGTGACTTTGGTACCAAGCAAAAGGAATTGAGGACTGGGAGTAAGGGGGAGCACCAAGATGGTAGACTCAGCAGGAAGATACGGTGATAGGCTGTGGCGGCTATTTCTTTTCTTTTCTTTTTTTTTAATATTTTATTTTATATAACTCTTACATCATTTTTCATTTTTGCACAATGTATGCATTTTCATTTTGGTTATGTTCCCCATACAATTGCCCCCCCCCCCCCATTTTGACCCTAGTCCTTCCTCTCCCTGCCCCCCCCACCCCCACCCCGGGTAGTATATCTGTGGTTTATAGTTGCTTGTTGATTTTGATTTTTACTTTGTACTAATTAGTCTTTTTCCTGGTCCCTTATTTAGATTTTCTAAATTCCTGCTATGAGTGAGACCATCCAGTATTTTTCTTTTTCTTTCTGGCTTATTTCACTGAGCATGATCCCTTCCAGCTCCATCCATGTTGCTGCAAATTACATGAGTTTATCTTTTTTGATTGCTGAGTAACATTCCATTGTGTATATGTACCACATCTTCTTGATCCAGTCATCTATTTTTGGGCATTTGGGTTGCTTCCATAGCTTAGCTATTGTAAATAGTGCTGCTATAAACATAGGGGTGCAGGTTATGGCGGCTATTTCTTAAGAAAGGAATTTACATGGTTAGCATGTTCAGAAGATTAACCGGAGCAGTCAGTAATCAAGAGGAAAAAGTTAGACCTATGATAAAATATTCGAATTTAAGCATAGAAACCAATTTAACATTTAGTCGAACTTTTCATTGTAGTGGCAATATTAAAAATTTAATCAAATAGTAAAAGCCCAGGCTCATGTTATGAACACATGGATTCTGCATTAGGTTGGCACCAGGAACCTCCATCATCAACAATCATACCAGGGGCTAAAGTACTGGGAACATGTTAGCTATTTCTGACGTCTGGTCCCCCACCACTTCCAAACTCTCATGAAACTTCCCACGAATCTATCTGTTAAAGATTTATCTAAATATGTATTGCACTTTCCTTAAAATAATTTCAGTCTATGAGGATAACAAGGTCTTAAACACTTAGCATGTCAAATACCTGTCTTCACTTTCAAACTGCTGGCTCTATCACAGTAGATTGCCAAGGTTAGACACTGATGGGGTTCATTATGATTTCAAATGCTTGGGATATACTCGCATTCCCAACACCAGCTTTTGTCTTTCCAGTTTGAAACATCTTGGGGTTTGTTTTGTTTTGGTTTTTTTAGACATATAAAAGCATTCCTGGCTTGTTCTTTAGCTGCACACACACACACACAAATCAGAAGTTAAGGCAGAGAGGCTTTAGAAATCCTGCTGAGAAAACAGCTCCAGATTTGAGCTGCATTCAAAGCTGCCTAGATCCATGTACGTGCTTTGTGCAGCAATTCTGCTGCCTGCTCTGCTGGGGTCTACACCTTAGCTGGGAGCAAGGATGGGGAAGATTATGGTGGATGGCGAGTATACAGTAGAAAACTTCTAGTTCCCTTTGAAATTTGGCAATTCCTGATATCCTTTAAGGCATGAGGTGTTTAAAATCTTAGCTGCTGCTGAGTTATGAAACTTACTGTGCAGATACAGGGGTAGCATAATAATACACAGTAATGCACTAAACCTGCGATTTTAGTTTTGGTCCTCAACAGATGGCTCTTACTGGTTCGATGGATAGGCAGGGGAGATGGCTAATTATTCCACGCCTTGGTTTTGACAGTAGGTGACTTGGGACCATAGACTCACTCACCCTGTGAATTAAGATTCAGGGTTCTAAGCCAGGTTTCCGGATTCTAAGGAAAAAAGTTTTATGGTGTGTGGGAAATCCAGAGGCATAGGAGTCAAGGCTCTGAGTTTGCTTTCCTTCTGTTAATTATTAGCTGTGACTTGAAACACTTAACAGGTGACCCTATTTTGTCTTCTCTGAAATTACCACTGTAGTGTCAATGACACCAGGTTATCATGAGCTTTGAATGAAATGATGTCTGTTAATGTGCTTGGAATACAGAAGCCCCTCAATAAATTGCTGCTACTGTTGCTGTTCTGAGTCTCCCATTTTTTCACTGTAAGAAAATAAGTAGAGCTGCCATATATGTTTCCTTTCAGCGTCAGGTCACCAAGATCTGAAACAATGATCTGACCGCTCCACACATATATGTGCTCTGATTTGGAAAAGACTGTGGTATGACTCTACATCAGAAACAGCATTTTTTGAGCACTTAGTATTCCAGGTACCGTGCAAAGGGATTTACATACCTGATCTCAATTGTCATAAACTCTTTGAGATGTAGGTATTACTATAAAGCCCGTTTTACAGAGAGACTAGCCAAAACACTGACGTGTAGCTTATCTGAGAGCACAGTGCCATTTAAGTGACAAAGCCTGGTTAATTCAGTCTGACCCTGGAGTGCTTATTCCTCACACTTCCTGACAACGGCCAGCTTGTTAGGGTAGAGTGAAAAGTTGGGTGGCAGAGCAGTCACACCTGTAGCCTCAGTGTCAGGTGGATGTTCACGTTGGACTGGCCAAGCAAGAGAGTCCTAAGTTGGAGTGAGGGGCTGGGCTTGTGTACCCCTGCATCAACCAGCCACTAAACTCAGGCTGCCCCCTGGAAGGGGAATCCTCCCTGGAAGTGTTACAGGGCAGCCCCTATATAAAACGAGTTGCCTGGCTGTGGGTCCCCACCCGCGTGCTTAAAAGGGACTTATTAATAATCCGCTGCAGGCACACACAAAAGGTTAATAAAGGTTTATTTACAAGGGAAGGGAAATGAGGAAATGTACAACTCAGGGAGAAAATAAGGAAATAAAGTCTTAAATGCGTCCTACCCATTCTGCCGACCTGGAAACCCAATGGCACTGAGAGCTGGCTACGGGCCAAGAGCCGTGAAGCCAAAAAGCCCCCCAAGACCCACGTGTCTGGTTTTATACCAAACCTGGCTGCTTTACTCCACCTTCAGTTCCCAGCAACCTTCCCTTTGGTGGTAATGGGATTTGTCTTTCCCAATGTCCTGATGGCTTTGGTCTGGAGTGGGGGTGGAGTCCATAAAGCCTGTGTGGAATTAGCTTAGGACATCCTTTTCCCCCTACCAGAAGGGGAATCCTCCCAGGAAGTGCTCCTGGAAGTCTTGGCCGCCTCCATGTCTCTGCCAACACTGGGCAGCTGAAGCAGCTTCAGTCCTGCAAAGGTGGCCCAAGGGCACCCACTCCTCACCACCTTCCACAAGGAAGGCCCTAAAGACTTGGCTGTGCCTCTAACCACCCAAGTGACAGCTCCATTTCTTTTCATTTGATGCGGCCTCTTTGTCATGACACTTTACAAAGAACGTGGAGTATATTAGAGGTCTCCCTGGACCTAACAGGAGCAGACAACCACATCGTTTTCAGTAGCTTGTGTACAGCAAGTGCGGCCAGCTTGCTCAACAAGTGTCCTCGTGTCGATTTAAAAAAGGCACTCAGGGGATAGTTGAAATCTTAATTCCGTATCTTACACCGTCTGCACAGTGTTATCACACCCCAGGACACAGTAGTTGAGCGTCGAGAAACGTCTGAGGTTACAGTTACAGTGTGTAGGTCGCCTGGCCCTGTCCCCTACCCCGCTCCTAGGGATGGTCTGTGACACCTGGGCATTTTTTCAACCCAGCTATCAGTCAAATCAAGGCATTAACCTCCTCCGGGGAGCAGCCTTGGCATCTGTTACATTTAATCATTTTCTAGATCTTACTGAGCCGCGTTTTCTCACCCACAAAATGAGGATAACAGCCGGTCCCCTGATAGACAAGGGAGCGACCGCCGGGCTTCCAGGCGCCGCAGTGCCAAATGCACCTTCTCTGGGGAGGGGGCCTCGAGGGAGGCGGTCGGGGTGCACGGACCCCAGGTCGGAGGAGGCCGGCGCGATCCTAACCCTAAACAGCCTGACTTCGTGGTCAGCACGTCCACTCAGCCCAGAGTCATCCCTCCTATTTGCCGAGCGCACGTGGCCTTTGGAGTTTAAAGCGTGCGTATTTTGCAGCCAGGCGGGGGCTCCCAGCGCTGGCGGCCGCCCCCGTGCTCCGGGGGTGCTGGCGTGGAATAAGCACCCGCCGCTGCCTCCCGAAAGGCCCAGACCGAGCCCCGCAAACCCGGGACAAGGCCCCGACCTCCTGCTCGCCGGAGGGGACCCCTGGACCAGTGAGTGTTGCACGCACCCGGTTTTCTTAAAGGATGCTCGGGCGGTGCGGATCGGGGCGCGGAACGTGGACGTCTTGGGGCGAGGAGCGCGGGGCGGTGAGCCCCGCAGATGGGGTGATTCCTTGCCGCTCTTCTGTCCTGGGTCTGGAGGCCCCGGGGGCGGGGGACGGGGTCCCTCTCGGAAGGCGCGGGCGGCGGCCGCCGAGCCCGCGCGGTACCGCCGTTGCCATGGCGACCCCCGCGGCGGCGCGCTGGGCGGGGCGCGGAGCAGCCGTGCGGCCCGCCTCCTCGTGCGGGACCCGCCCCGACGCTTCCCCGCCCCGCGGCGCGCCGCGGCGCCCGCCATTGGCCGGCCGCCTCGGTCTCACGATCCTCACTTCATCCGCGCAGCCAATGGCTGGGGCGCTTGGGATTCTTGCGCGCGAGTCACATGAGGCGGGCCACAGCGCGGGCCAATCACAGAGCCCGGGGGGAGGGGCGGGCGCCCTCGCCGGCCAATCACAAGCAAGAGGAACTCGCAGGCCCTTCCTCCCCAGGTCCGTCCCCACGCCCGGAGGGGACCATTCAAAGGCTCCGCACCTGGCCGGGCTGGGTGCGGCCATTCCCGCGCGTCCGTCCAGGTGAGCACCCGGAAGCGAGGCTCTCGGGCGGGCGGGGGCGCAGGTGGGCTCCAGCCCGACGGCCCCGGGCTGGAGGGGAGCAGGACGCGGGTGCGCCGTCGGGGCGGGACGCCGACCCCGACCCCGGGGCTGGGGCTGCGGGGCTGGGCGGGCGCAGAAACGGGAGAAAACGAGGGAAATTCTTGAATGATGGGGCTGGACGGGGGCGCGTTTCTGGTCCCTTAAAACTTCACGGTCGTCGGGAAACGGGCGTATTAGAGACAGTTACGCCGCCGGGGGATGGTGGTGAAAGTTTTACCAAACCCAGCCTGGACGGGTTGGGGGGCGCTTTGTGGGGTCGGGACGGGCCTGGCAGGGGGGGTTACCGCGGGCTGCTTGGGAGTCGAACCCGAGAAGACGACCTGGAGCGAACGCTTTCTTGCTTGGACTGAGAGGAGCAAAGCGCCGCAGCAGGAGGGGAGGGTAGTGACTTGGAGAAGACAAAGTGTAGCAAAGTCAGAGCGAGTTGGGGAGCGTAGACAGGTGTGCCCAGGCGTGTCTTGATCGCTGGGGGTTTTAATTTTTATCCACAGGGGTGAGGCACTGCCTTGGACTTTAAAGGTTTGAAGAACGGGGTTAGCAGAGTTAGGTTCCATCTTGGCATGATGTGGTGGGGGTACTTAGAAGGACAAGCTGGGAGGCAGGACACCTCCAGTCAAGGAGGGAACTGTTTTCCTCAGGGTTATCATCCAAGGCCCAGGGCCAAAGGATTGACTCTGGCTGATGTCAGAGACAGCTAATCTCCAAGGTTTCTCAGAATCCACAGATAATGAAATTTCTTAATTCTAAGAGATAGGCTTCTAGACAGCTTGCCCAAGAATGGGCAAAGAAAGAGAAAATTCAGTTTCTCTCCCCTCTTCTGTGTTTTCCTTTTGTTGGGTTGACAACCATGTATCCATCTCCCCCCTCCTTGTGTTTGGAGAGCATATTTCCAGATTTTCATTAAGCCAAGTGGTTCTAAATTGGGGGAAAGTTTAAACACTCAACCCAGGAGGCAAAATTAAGAAAGACTTAGAACTTTCTACCTGAGATGACTAACCTGGTGATGTAGCTCGTCAGGTTGGGATTTGTAGGAATGGGAGGCATTTGGGCAGAGATTTCCAACTAGAGTTCAGAACTTCAGTTCCTGAAGTTTTGGACATGTTGACTTTGTTGTATCTCTGTACTATCTAATGGGGGGGGGTGTGTCTGTGCACTTTTGAATAATCAGAATTTAGATTTCAGGGGGGTGGGTTGCGGATATCAGCAGACAAACGGGAAATCGGAAGATTGCCTAAGGTAATCTGCACTCCTTAGGAATAAAGAAAGCATCACCAGGAAATCTCAGCCACGGTTTTTGTGTTTCTCAAAAGTGTCCCCCAGGGCCCAAAAAACCAGAAGGTGCTGTGTCCTTTCTCAATTCCTAGTTGAAGCTGCATATCTGATGTTCTTCCGACTCAACACATCCCCTTGTTCACTGCCCCCCACAACCCTCTTCACTCTCTTTTAATATGGTCACACACACCCCACCCCATCCCTCTTTTGCAGGTCTCACTTCAAGTGGCAGCTTCCTCTGGAACTCTTTCCTGGTCCTCTTTGTTGTCTTAGCTCTGGTTCCAACCCTTCCTTTACTGTTCTTGTCAGATAATTTTATGATAGCCTCGTTACTTCTCTCTGTTCCTCACTAGGTGTTATGTTATGGAGTCAGGTGTGTGGGCAGCAGCTAGCACAGCACAAGTGCAAACTAAACTAGTGATTCACCTGTGAATCCTAAGCACCAAGGAAAGAACGAAGTATCAGATTTTCCAGATTGGTCACATGTTTGTTGGATTTGTCAGACGAGAGATCCAGCGTGATCTCAGTAAGAGAGCGGGTTCAGTGCTGTGATGAGAATTGGAGGCAAGTGGTAACGGCTGAGAGTAAGTGGGAAATGTGAACAGGACACCTGCATAGAGACTCTTTCAGGAGACTTGGGTATATTTGCCTCATAATATTTATCATGTGCTTTATTATGTATGATCATAGTATAGCAGTGGGGGAGAGTCAGGCTCCCCCATTTAGCATTTTGGTAAAAGTTGCTTAATCTTTTAAACTTCAGTTTTTCATTTATAAGATGATGGGTAGTAAAAGTACCTGCTTTATGGAAGTATGTTAAGGGAACACAGTTCTTGGCGTATAAGAAGGGCTCAGTAATTGTTAGCTTCTTGTAGCTGCTGCGTGCTGGGTCCCCTAAATATTTCACATGCCTCTGTTCTTGACTCATTAGAAGAACTATTGTTATTCATTGCCCCCAAAATTATTGAGGTATAATTGACAAAAATGTTAAGTCTAGGTGATTTGGTATACTTCTACACCATCTAGTTACTTTTGTTATTCTTTACCTTTTGCAGATGATAAAACTGAAGGTCAGAGTGGTTGCAAGGCACACTGCTTATCACATCATTGGCAATGATCTCATGAAAGATAAGGACAGTTTTGTTTGGATTTTGTAATATAGAAGCTCAGTGGCTGTCCGGAGCCGTCCGGAGTATGTGCCATGTTGCATATGCGTGCCATGAGTTCGCTTTACCGTTTCGCCTTTGGCCTTTGGAGAACCACAGGTTTTTCCTGTAAAGCACATGAGACTGGGAGGTACGGGGGGAGGAGCTACGAGGGATAAGAAAGGAACTGCAAGAGAGGCGAAAGGGACTGCGAGGAGATAGGCAAGGGTTACTGCGAGAGGAGCAGAGAGAAGGCCAGGGAAGTAAGAAAGACAGGGAAAAGTAAAAGAGAAGGAAAAGGAAAAATAAAGAAGCAAACGCTAGCGTCAAGTCGTCAAGCCCCTCATTTCAATCCTCAGCCCTTCTCTTTCCGTGCCTCCGAATCCCACGGGTCGGGACAGGTGGCGCCCAGCGCGGGGCACGGAAAAGAACGAAGGAACCGCTGAAGGACCAGCTGTGGTGAGCCGGCAAGTAAAGTAAAGTAAAGTAAGGTAGCTGGGATTCATGGGCAATTCAATGTCCAAGGGGCAGTTAGTTATTTCCCTGGAAGCTCTCCTAAAAGAGTTTGGGGTTCCTCTCAGTAGAAAAATTCTTAAAGGATTTGTAGAGACCCTTAGTATTACTAGTAAATGGTTTCTGAAGCAGGATCAGGTCGATAGTGACAATTGGAATAAGGTAAAAGGAGATATTGTCTTGCATCAGCAATTATATGGCCTTGAGTCTCTTCCTGGCACTACTTTGACGGTCTGGAGAGTGGTGGGAGATGCTTTTAATGCCGGTGGCACTGCTGCCACTCAGTTAGCCACTGAGGCCGTCAGGACAGCGAGACAAACGGAGGAAGAAGATAGAAGTTCCATTATGAGTTCTACATCGGATGCAGAAACACCCCGATGGGTTCCTGCTCGATTGGTTCGGTTTGTCAATATACCTGACCCTGCTAACATCGATGACACAAGCGTCCCAGATGTTAGTACGATGGGCGATTGTGCATCAGCTGCCGTTTTTGCTCCTCACTGATCGTCATGATTCCACTTTTCCGCAAGTATTGGTCTGGTTTTTAAGCCATTGGATAGTGCCCCGTTGGGCCAGGGTGAGGTGAAATTATTTAATGACATTTATTCTGTAAATATTAGTTCTACCATTGAATAATTTGTTAGTATTCAGAATAATAGATTATAGAGTTTGTCTGTTGCTGTCTGTCTGTCCCCTCCTTTCTTTTTTGTCCTCCCCAATAATGCAGGAGATGCCACTGTGTTGAGTTGTTCAACAGAGACCTGCGTCCTCTTTGCCTCCTGGGCCCGGAGTGCGGAGAGAGCAGTGATCGTTCGTCTACCTCCTATTTTAGTCATGTCCGTGGATGTTTCTGCACACTTTCCCCTGTTCTACCTAGGAGGAGACGTGATTTTAGCATCACTGCAGCTATTGTCGCCGTTTCAATAGCAGTGGCCGCGGCTGCGGCTGCTGCCGCCGTTGCTGTCACTCAAGCTGCTGTAAATACGGACACTATGGACAATTTAGCTGCCGGTGTGGCTTCTGCGTTGTCAACACAGTAATATATGAATGGACATTTGCAGAATGGACTTTTTATGTTTGGTCAGCAGTTAGCTAATGTAAAAAGGGATAGACACAATTTTGTTAATTGCTCACATACCTTGTAACCCTCTGTACAGTTTTATTTGTGTTACCCCTCTTACGGGTGAGGGTCTCATTGCCTGGTTTAGAGGACTCCTCTCAGAGTTGTAAGCTTGGGGCAGGGTGGTAGCCTTAGCTCTTGGCTTTTTGTGCATTCGGCTTGTGGTTTCTCCGTCGGCTACGGAAGTAAAGAACTATTGTGCTATTGCGATCAGGCAAGTACTTGGCACCATGATACTTGACCAGGACTCCCCAGTGGCACCTGGATGGGTCACCTTAGTCTTAGAGAACCTGTGAGCCAAAGACGGGTAAGGCTGGTTATGGGATGTGCCAACCTAAGACAGGCCAGGTGTCTCATTTAAAAGAAAAAAGGGGGAGATGTCCGGAGCCGCCCGGAGTATGTGCCATGTTGCATATGCGTGCCATGAGTTCGCTTTACCGTTTCGCCTTTGGCCTTTGGAGAACCACAGGTTTTTCCTGTAAAGCACATGAGACTGGGAGGTACGGGGGGAGGAGCTACGAGGGATAAGAAAGGAACCGCAAGAGAGGCGAAAGGGACTGCGAGGAGACTGTAAGGAGATAGGCAAGGGTTACTGCGAGAGGAGCAGAGAGAAGGCCAGGGAAGGTAGAAAGACAGGGAAAAGTAAAAGAGAAGGAAAAGGAAAAATAAAGAAGCAAACGCTAGCGTCAAGTCGTCAAGCCCCTCATTTCAATCCTCAGCCCTTCTCTTTCCGTGCCTCCGAATCCCGCGGGTCGGGACAAGTGGCAACCAGCTAGCATGAGTGGAAAGCTGGATGGCAAGGGGCTGAGCTGTGGGAGGAGAGCTTAACTGCCAGAGATGTCCTGTTGAGTTTTTCTTTGAGAAGGAATTAGGTTAGTTCAAAGGAAGAAACAGCACAGTTGCTTGAGGAAGAGATGACAGGTGTTTGGAAAACTTTTCTCAAGAAAGGAAGACATATTTAAACTTGAGAGGATGGACTCTAAGGAGGGAAAGATGAGAGAAAATGACAGATAAAGTCTTGATGAGTCAGATGAGAATACAATACCTCTCTTAGAGGAGAAGGTGAGTGAGCCAAGAGAGATTTTAAACTTGGGGTGGCACAGAATGTAACACTATGGTTGTCATGGTCTGAGTCATTTGAGAATGAGTAGAACAAAGAAAGTATGCACAGTGAATTTGGAGGCCCAAGGAAGTTGGCTACATTGCCAGTATCTTCTGTAAGAATGAAGTGTATTCATTTTGAGTTGTGGTAGCTACTGGAATAGTCTTCAAAGATAATACTCATGTCCCCATCAACAGTGTGTAATGATACCTGTCTCCCCAAATTGTCACCCTTAGCAATACCAAGGACTGGGCACTAGGAAACTTTGGAAGATTTTTTTGTTTGTGGGTACATTTCTTGAGTGAAACTGAACTGCTTATTTGTTCATGAGCATTTGCATTTATTTTTCTGTAAGTCACCTATGGGTGGCCTTTGTCATCTTTTCTGCTAGATTTTCAGTCATTTACTAGTGCACACTTTGCAGCCCTTTGTCATGTGTTGAAATATTTTTTCCAGTTTCTCATTTGTTCTTTGGCTTTATCATTTTCTTACTCCCCGTTGAGAAGTAATTAATTTTTATGTAACCTTGTTTGTCAGGCTTTTTCTCCATAGGCTCATTTGGTTTTAAGTTACAGTTTTAAATCCCACCATCACTCATTGAATTGAGAAGTTTTTACATGGAAACCACATTAAAAATAGCTCACAACTCTTTTTTTTTTTTTTTAAGATTTATTTATTTATGCATGCAAGAACTGGGTTATAGGCCAGAGATGAGAGGGGTGAGAGAATTCACCAGAGACAGAGCAGGGAACAGAACAGGCAGAAAGACTGAAATACACTGCTGAGGGGAGCAGTGGGCGAGACAGGAGAGGTCTGCTGTGCCATTTGGGTATCTCCCTGGCCAGCTGGAGATCGAACTTGCTGCTGCAAAGGCTGTGGATAGCTTCATAGTGCTGTGTTTAACCCCTTGCGCCACCAGGGGGGCCCTAAAAGTAGTTGACAACTCTTGATCCATTGTTGGTCTTTTAGATCCTGCTCTAGAAAGTTCACTTGTGGCTTTTCAATCCATAGTTTCAAGTGGCGGTGGGGATGACATCCAATAGACTGGACTTGTTAATCACACTGTTAGGGCCTGAGACATCGTGTTCCCTTAGTAATTGTTATTTGTAAAGACTGTTTTCTTAGAATTTTGTTTAACTTTGCTTGTTTATATCTTTATATTCACAGAATTGTAGGACGATCTGCAGAGATTTGGAAAATGGCAACAAATGAAAGTGTCAGCATCTTTAGTTCAGCATTCTTGGCTGTGGAATATGCAGATTCTCTTCTCCCTGAGAATCCTCTGCAAGAACCATTTAAAAATGCTTGGAACTACATGTTGAATAATTATACAAAGTTCCAGATTGCAACATGGGGGTCCCTGATCGTTCATGAGGCCCTTTATTTCTTATTCTGTTTACCTGGATTTTTGTTTCAGTTTATACCATACATGAAAAAGTACAAAATTCAAAAGGTGAGTGTGATGTCCTTGCAGTGCAATGTTGCCAGTAGTGTCACTGAATATTTTAAAAGCAAATATAACTTTTGAGAGACTCTAGACCAGGGCTGACCAATAGAATTATAATGAAGGTACATGTGTGATTTAAAACGTTCTAGTAAAACACATAAAAAGACATCAGGAAATTAATTTGTATAATCTATTTGACATAGTAAATCTGTTATTTCATATTCTCATTCTCATAACAACTCTTCAAAATCTGGAGTATATTTTGCACTATGTTTAGTTCCCCTCCATTTAGACCAGAAATATTTAAATGCTCACTAGCCACTGTTGCTAGTTGCTACCATATTGGGCTGAGCAACCCTAGATCATTATTGATAATGTTTCCAGAATAATTTGTTAAATTGTGCTTCAAGTAGATATGATGACAATCTTCTTTGGGTTTTTAAATTTTACTTGGTAAGCTAGCTCACAGGAAAGTTAGGGGGATTTGTGTGTATTATTTTACAGTTCACTCTAACCCCTGATATCTCAGTCTCTCAGTGTATGTTAATATTCTAAGACTTTGATCAGTATTACTAAAAGTGTTGTGTTTTCCCTAAATATATGGTGGTAGTTCTCTAACATTTGTGTCATCCTTAATAAGGAGGTGATGATGTTCTTTGTCCCTAGGTATTTGCTCTAAAGCACTAAACTCTTCTTGAGAGCCCACTATGCGTGCCAATGTGTTGAGATGTGCATATGACTTTTCTCAGTGTTATGCAAAGCAGTGGACACTATTGACAAGTACATTAATGAGCTTGGCATGTTTCAGAAGGGAATCTGGACTAGCTTATTAGAGAAAGCGATGATTTACCAGCACTTGATAAGCCCATGATAGTTTCTATTGCTTTCTGTTCACTTGCCTAAAAAGTCATGCCAACTAGACCGTGAGGACACCCAGTCCTGTGGAAAGTACTGGTCTTTGGAGACTAATCTGCAGTCAAGGTCTGGTTGTGAGGCAGTTTCTCTGTTTTGCTCAGTCTGGAAGCTTCCTGGCTTCTCCCAGTGTCACTTTAAGCAAGTACCAACGTTGATGCTCCCTGGGGGGAGAGTGCAGAGGTCAGGTCACCAGACACCTAGCAAAAGGGGTAAGAACAGAGGGCTAAGGGGGAAGGAATTAAAGAGAATTGGCCCAAAGGAGAGCATCCTGTCACCTAAGGGACACATTGATTCCAAAGTGCTTTTTAGGGCCTCCCCGGTGGCGCAGTGGTTGAGCTCTGGGCTGCGAAGCTGCCCGCAGCCTCTGCAGCGCTGGTTTGATCCCCAGCCGCCAATAAGGGTCCCACATGGCGCAGCAGACCTCTCATGTCTCACCCCTTGCTCCCCTCAGCAGTGTATTTCATCAGTCTGCCTGTTGTGTTCCCCGCTCTGGCTCTGGTGAATTCTCTCACTCTCCAGCTCTTCTGACTGTACCCGGTGCTTGTATGAATAAATAAATCTTTAAAAAAAAAAAAGTGCTTTTTAGATCAGGGCCTGCTTTTGAAAGGCAGAATCATTCTGGGAGTGAGTGCTGCCAGATGACTCTAAGCATCAATTTACCTGTGTAAAATACCATTCATCCAGTACCGCATGAATGGCCACTTCAATAATTGTGGGAGGTGGGGGGCAGGTCCCCAACCCTAATCTTAGCACATTTCTTCTCAGAAATTCCTCGTAAACGAATTGAATGACCTGTGGGCAGCAAAGACTGGCTGAGTTATTCCTTCTATATGTTTCTTGGTTTGTTTGAAATCATTATGAGTGTTAAACCTGGGTTTGTCTACAATTCCTTTACCTATTTTACGTAGTGATAATAGTTGTCAGGAGTTTAGAAGGGGAGGATGTTGTGATTCACAGGCCTTAGTTACTATAACACAGAAATTAATATAGAATTCATGTAACAGAACAAATGAATAGAATTAAGGTCTCATGGAAACATTAGAGGGAAAAATATCTTCACTTCTCGTCAGGCTGCCCTGATTGCAGAGGCTTGTGCTAAACACTGATTTTTTTTTCCTCATAGGATAAACCGGAAACATGGGAAGGCCAATGGAAATGTTTAAAAGTTATTCTCTTCAATCATTTTTGTATCCAGCTCCCTTTGATTTGTGGAACCTATTATTTTACAGAATATTTCGGTATTCCTTATGAATGGGAAAGAATGCCAAGATGGTATGTAATAAATATGGGATGTTTATACTCAGTCATGAGTCTGTTACCTAGTATTATTACCTAATTGTTACCTAGTATTGTTACCTAAATATTCAGATCTATTTAGTGTTTCTCTTTTTTCATTTGGTTAATATTTGTATAAATAAAATGCGGAATGTGAACCATTGTAGAAAGTTAAAATGTTCCCATTTTTACAAATATAATTTGATGTACTATTTGACTGCAGCTTCTTGCACCAAACGTTTCTGTAGCATGCTTTTTATGAAGGTGTACAGAAACGTGCTTATGCTAAGAAAAAGCACATTACATTTTAACTCTAAAATGAATTTTAAAAATGAGAGAAAAGTTCGTGAGATTTATATAAATTGTATCTATACAAACATGGTCTGAGCACAAGTCTTCAACTATCTGTTTCTGATATAACCTGAATATAGATATACCAGTGTAGATAAACATTTTTTATATAATGTATATTCAACATATAAGTGTCCATTTGTGTATAAAACACTTTTTGCCCATTTCACTTATGTCCTCATCTTTGGTGGGAATAAAAATGATGATTTGAGGGCCACCCCTGGTGGCGCAGCGGTTGAGCACTGGGCTGCGAGGCTGCCCCCAGCCTCTGCAGTGCCGGTTCGTTGCCTAGCTGCCGGCGAGGGTCCCACCAAAAAAAAAAAGAAAAGAAAAAAGATGATTTGACTATTATTAATCTTGCTTTAAGTCCTTCAGTAATAGTACTTTTATCTTGGAAACTTTGAAGTTGTTTCTTCACTCTGACTTTATCCATATATTACCTAGCATTGGTATAGTATCTGTCTCTTTAACCCTCAGGTGATATTGTAGTGCTACCTTCTAGCTCATAGCTTGAGAGAATTTGTTGCTCAAGCTCTCCAAGTAGGTAAGTGGGTAAGTGGGTGTTTGGTTTCATGTAATGACTCAAGCAGCAATCCCAAATACAAACCTAGATTGTTTCAGTAAAAGTTGTTTCATGACCATTTCATTTTTTTTCTCTTAAAGGTACATGCTTTTGGGACAGTGCTTTCTCTGTGCCGTGATCGAGGATACCTGGCATTATTTCCTGCATAGACTCTTACACCACAAGAAACTGTATAAGCATATTCATAAAATGCATCATGAATATCAGGTATGTTAGAATTAAATTTAATACACTTCTTTTTCTATTGGAGACACAAAGTCATAATTTTTACCTCCTGGGGCTTTAAAAAAATTGTCAGTGATATTTTTATTTATGTTGGCATAATTGTAAGGAATATCACATGCATGCAAACACAAAGCCAGTTCTACAAATGCTTTTTAGTATGTAACTTCATGGTACATTGGGACATGATAGGAAAATGGTACACAGTCAGTCATCCAGAGCTCTTTCCTTCCACAGTTGGATATCTGGCTACAATCACATGAGGGTCATTTAAATGGGACAACAAAACTTCTAAAACAATTGCTGGCTTAGTTTTTGCTCATTCTCACTGCATGACTCACAAAAGGAGTGATTTTTTTTTTCCACAACTGCTTTGATGATGTGCTGTCAGCCTGGCTATGTCCTTATGTTCTGCATAATAGAAATCCATTATATGGTATTCTAAACCAGACTCCCCTTTCTTGGTAGAACAAATTTAGGTGTTTAAACCACAGTCAGAGTTCAAGTCAGTTGTTTAATGCCTCTACCTTAAACCATGCAAGACAGTTGTTAAGGTTGTTTTAAGAATATTCCTAGACTTTTTGATGTTTCATAGGATCAGGAAGTTATTTTTATTGAAAAATTTCTGTTATTTTTATATTTAGACTAGATATATAATCATACAGATAGAAACAGTATAACTTTATAAAACTACTTGCATAAATAAATTAGAATATATGTAGCAGTCAGGGTTTTCCAGAGAAACAGAATTGATAAGACATACACACAAAAAAGAGATTTATTTTAAGGAATTGGCTCATGCAATTGTGGGTCCTGGCAGGAATTACAAGAGTCAGTGTTATGCACAATGGAATACTACTCAGCAATCAAAAAGATAAACTCATGCCATTTGCAGCAGCATGGATGGAGCTGGAGGGGATTATGCTCAGTGAAATAAGCCAGAAGGAAAAAGAAAAAATATCAGATGGTTTCACTTATAGGAGGAATATAGGGGAACCAAATAAGAGATCTGAAAAAAAAAAAATACTAATAGAAGAACAAAGTAACAGGCAACTATAAATCAGACAATCTACAGTGTTGAGGGAGGGAGAGGGATCAAAACAGGGGTGAGAAGAGCATAAGAGACTATGGGATGGTGCATGGGTAAATTGGTGGTAGGAATTTTACAGGGACTACACCTGAGAGGAGAAAGCATATACTGTACAAAAAGGAACAATGATGTAAAATAAATATAAACAAATTAACTAAAAAAAGAAAAAAATCAGTATTGTGGTCTTGCACCTGAATTCCACAGGCAGCAGGCTGGATATATAGGAAACCTCAGTCTTTGCTTTCAAGATCTTTTTTTTTTTTTAAGATTGATTTATTTATGCATACAAGAGCTAGGGTACAGGCCAGAGGTGTGGGGAGTGGGGTGAGAGGATTCACCAGAGACACAGCGGAGAACAGAACAGAAGATCTACTGAAATACACTGCTTCGGGGAGCAGCGGGTGAGACAGGAGAGGTCTGCTATACCATGTGGGTAGCTCCCTGGCTGGCCGGGAGTTGATCTTGTGCTGCAGTGGCTGTGGATTGCTTCATAGGCTGCATCTTAACCCTTGCGCCACCACGGTTAAGATCTTAACAAAATTGAATGAAGCCCACCTGCACTATGGAGGGTGATTCTCGTTTACTGAGTCTACTGAGGTAAATGTCAGTCACATCTAAAAAATACCTTCACAGCAACATCTAGACTAAGGATTTTGACCAAACAGTCAGGCATTGTAGCCTAGCCAAACTGACGCATATTAACCATCACAATGATTCAAGGTAGTCTGTTTATTTTAGGCTCCATTTGGATTAGAAGCAGAATATGCACATCCCCTGGAAACCTTAATTCTTGGAACTGGATTTTTCATTGGAATCATGCTTTTATGTGATCATGTGATTTTACTCTGGGCCTGGGTGTCCGTTCGCCTCTTGGAAACCATTGATGTCCATAGGTAAGCTGCGGTTCTTACTCTAGTGTAAGGGGTCATGAAATTCTTATTACCATGTTTCTAAGATTATCTTTAGTTCTAAGTAGGCCAAGAGGGGTAGTTAATCTTGTTAATACCGTTTTTAAAGAAACGAGCACAACCATTGCTTTGAGAAAATCATAAACGTTAAAATAATAGAGGTTTTTTTTTTTTTTTTTTAAAGATTATTTATGCATACAAGAACTGGGGTACAGGCCAGAGGTGTGGAGGGTGAGAGGATTCACCAGAGACAGTGGGGAGCAGAACGGGCATACCGACTGAAATACACTGCTGCTGAGGGGAGCAGTGGGCAAGACAGGAGAGGTCTGATGCGCCATGTGGGTAGCTCCCTGGTCGGGGATCAAACTCGTGCTGCAGTGGCCACGGACAGCTTCCTAGGTTGTGTCTTAACCCCTTGCGCCACCAGGGAGGCCCGGTTTGGTTTTTTTTTTACATCGCGGGCTATGGCTACTATCATTTTTACAGTGAGGATATATATTCATGTATTATTTTGTCAAATGAAATAAAATTTTGATAGTTACTACAAAATGGTCCTCCCAAAGGATCCCTATTTAGTTAACAGTCATTTTCTTTATGGCTTAGGGCTTTCTGGAAATACTGTTCAGATGAAAATTTTTTGATGATCTTAACATTTTGGTTAATGAAATATCGATTCAGGACCAGCAATTTTATCCTGTGATGAACCTAAATGCAACTTTTAGGTGGAAAAAAGAGACTGAAATATTCTGCCTTCATTGGCTGACAACATTTCTACTGTGATGAAAGCACTGTTTGTAATATGTACATACTTCACTTGCTTTCTTTTGATTGGAATACATTTTGTGGTAAATTATTTCTATTGACTGCCTTTCATAATGCCTAATTGTCCTGATTTTTCGTTATTTTAAATCCATTATATATTTATTGCGTTTTGACTTGGGACTTACTACTGTATCAATGAAAGTAGAATAACAAATTCTAGGAATTAATTTGAAACCACTGAAGTAGCAAAATTAATGCTTCCAATCCTAGACAGAGATTGTCTAGATAAATTGTAAGTTAGGACCTTGTCATTGTTTCCTTTCATTTTTCTTTTCTCCCTTCTTCCTTCTAAGCCTCCTAAAGGGAGGGAGGAAGGAGGGTGATTTAGGCCAGTATTATTGTGGCAATCAGGTCTTAGATTTCTAGCTATAAATAAAGCAGAATACCTGGGACTCTTTGAAATCATGCCCCCGCCCCCACTATAGAAAGCATGCTGGTATTTAATTAATCACGAGACATTTAATTCCAACTTGTCATTGCCAAGAAAGTGCTAGAAGTTGCTACACAGTGATTCTCTTATGTAACCTCCTTCATGCTTGATACTAATTTCATATAACTTTTCCTAAAAGACATGTAGTATGAACATTATAGACTGGTGAGAAAGCACTAAAATAGAAAAGTAATTCTTGAAAATCTGTGTCTTAAAGAGTCTTCACTCTAACCCCCAGTCCCTGAAGACTGATTGGTAGGTAGATATAAAATACGTAATTTCCATAGACATTTCAAGATTAAATAATTCTTAAAGTGGTTTCTTGAATATGTACCATTTTCCCTAAGTTTTTGTCTTGTAAACATGTCAGAAATGAAGTGACTTAGGTAAAGTGGAAAGTTACTTGAATTCATTAGGGAACATGCAACTATCAATGAAAACGTCAGTTATTTGAGGTGTTTTTCTTTCTTTCCCTTAATGATCATGTGTATCATTTTCATTTCAGTGGTTACCATATTCCCATAAACCCTTTAAACCTCATCCCCTTCTATGCTGGTTCTCGGCATCATGATTTCCACCACATGAACTTCGTGGGGAACTATGCCTCGACATTTACGTGGTGGGATAGACTTCTTGGAACGGAATCTCAATATGCTGCCTACAAGGAAAAGATGAAGAAGCTCGAGAAAAAGACTGAGTAAATATTTCATATAAACCCTTCTGAAGATACACATTTTCCTGATTCAAAGCTAGTAGCTAACATTGCTTCTGGGGAACAGAAATAAGCGTGTGTTTTGGCTGCTAAGTGATTAGAAGAACATTAATTATCTTTAATTATCTTCCTAATGGGAACTTTTTCTACTTTACATACAAGTTCTGTATGTGTAGAAATAAGCAAATAAATATTTAAGTATAATTTTCATGAACCTTTTTTAAAGACTGTCGCTGATCTTACAAAAGGTTTTAAGTAATGGAAGAAGTATTAATCTGTGTCCTTCCCACCAGTAATACAATAGGCTTAGGTTGAAATTGGCCTTTAAATCTTAAATATATAGTGGTCAAAACATTGACCAATGTGTTGACCTCATATTGAACTTCAAATATTTTTTTGAATTTGCCTAAGAGCAAAATATCATGATTGAAGGACATCAGTTGTTACAGTATGAGTGAGGCTGCTGATTCAGGAAGAGCTGGCAACAAGAATTACCACTCTTGTCCGGCGCTGACCAAATTGGAACAATTCTCTTTCTTTCAGGAGTCCTTTTTTGATCACAGTGTGCGCTACTAGCATCTGTAAATTAAGGCATTCTGTGCCAATGTGAGTGAAGTATTTTAAAAGTGTAATGGTTTGGGGGTTACTTGAATTTTTCAAAATATTGAGCTTTATTTACCCTTTCATTTATGTATATCAAATTTTCATTAATACTTAAAGCTGTGTCCTGAGCTTTTGTGAACTGACTTGGTATCTTTGCACTTTGAGCTGTTGAAATAAATGAGTTTTGTCTGATTATTTGGTTTCCAGTTTTGAACATCAGCTGTCACCTTTTAGTGTTATAAGGAAAATTATGGAAATCCTTGTAGTGATTAAGTTTTATTTTTAAAAAGGGGCGGTAATTCTATTTTTAAGTGCTTTGTAGCAAAATGTTTTTTGCAGCTTCATTTATTTTATTTTTCAATATTATGTTTTGGTATTGTGAGAAATTCCATTGACCTAATAAGGTGGAGGATATCGAAGTAGCTCTTTCCTCTGCTTAGAAAATATCTATTTTCTGTTCCAGATGGTAGAATAGAGCTAAAATATATAGGGCTGGTTTGATCTCCAGTTTCTAGATTCTAACTTAAGAGTTTATAATTCTTAGTATATGGTGATAACAAATTGTTATTTTTTAAAATATGGAGCTAATTTCTGATAATTTTTTTTGAAAATTTAATTCAGTAAAGAAGTTCTGATTAGTATTCAAGAAGATAGAACTGACAGTTTTGCCGACATGTTTTCTAATTTGTTCCTGATTCATATGGCCCTTTTTGTACTCCCTTTCACACGTGTGTCATATTAGTGCATGACTGAGGGGTGCCCAAACTTAAAGGGTGCACCCTTTGAAAGGGATCTGGCCACTCGCATGCACACAGGCAAAGGAAACAGACTTTTGTATGAAAGATTTTTATTAGAATTGGTGTGCATAGAAGAAAGGATTTCAAACAACAGCAGACTCCGAAGATGACATATCCTCTCCTGGGTAAGTACCCAACTAAAGAGGCTTACCCCAAAGCCAGACCTTGAAGCCTGAAAGTTTGCCACAAGTCTAAGATACCTTTTGACAAGGCACCACAAGAAAAGCTTAAGGCAGGTCCAGAGACCTGGGACAGAAGGAGAAAGAAAATGCAGACTCAGTCTCATAATCCACAATGTGATCAAGGTAATGGCTGTCTCTGTCAAGGACCAAGAATGGTCTCTTTGTGTGTCTCCCTCTCCTCCAAGTATCTACATATCTCTCTTCCATGTGTGTGTTTAGTAAACATGTTAGCTCTTCTCAAATAGCAGTTTGGGTGCTGTACTTAAAGTTGTCTGTTTAATTAAAAAATACCTGTAGGAATTCTTTTATTGTCTCCTTTTCTCGCTACCTGGTACTGATGGAATGCATAGAATCTTAATTAGTATTGAAAAGTGACTCCCTTTCAGCACATGGGGAGAGTGACATCTACTGGTAGAAATGGTGCTAAGCAACTTGGTACCTTCTAATTCACTATTTTCATGCTAGTTCATTTCACTGAACACTTGCTGTACAACCTGAGTTGTGCTGCGGGCTTTTTTTTTTTTTTAAAGATTTATTTATGCATACAAGAGCTGGGGTGCAGGCCTGAGATGTGGGGGGTAAGAGGATTCACCACAGACAGTGAGGAGCATACTGAAATTCACTGCTGAGGTGAGCAGTGAGCTAGACAGGAGAGGTCTGCTGTGCCATGTGGGTCACCTCCCTGGCTGGGAATCGAACTCAGTGACTGCAGATAGCTTCATAGTGCTGTGTCTCAACACCTTGCGTCACCAGCGAGGCCTCTTGCTATGGGCTTTTAATGCATGATCTTTTAAGCCTGAAGTAAATGTTTTCTCCTTATGGGTGAGGGAATTGTCCAAAAGAGATTATGTTACCCAGGATCACAGGGCCAATCTTTCAACTTAGGAAGCCATTCTTATTGCTACTAGGATCACTGCAATGGAGACTTGTGTCTTCTCCATAAAAGCAGGCAATGTTTCACCTTCATGTATAATCTTTTAAGAGAAGAGATACTTGAGGGCCCTCCCTGGTGGCGCAGGCGATTGAGCTCCACACTGTGAAGCTGTCTGCAGCCTCTGCAGCGCTGGCTGGATCCCGGCTGGCCAGTGAGGGTCCCACATGGCACGGCAGACCTCTCCTGTCACACCCACTGCTCCCCTCAGCAGTGTATTTCGTCAGTCTGCCTGTTCTGTTCCCCGCTGTAGCTCTGGTGAATCCTCTCACCTTCCTGCGCATCTGGCCTATACCCCTGTTCTTGTATAAATGAATAAATAAAATCTTTAAAAAAAAAAAAAAGAGAGTAGAGATACTTGAAAGTGTTAGCCAGTAGCCACCCAGAAAGTGGTAAAATTCATAAGCATTTTAAAGCAAATAGTTTTTTACAGAATTTACTGGCCAGACTTTTTAAATTACCTGAATTAAGGTTCTTTTAGCACTTGACAGTGAGATGAAGATTAATGAAAAGTACAAAAATACGTAGAATTGAATGTACTCTGGGGGAATAACAGGAGAGATTCCTTTGTTTCTTCAATTATCTGGGATTTTACTAAAGTAGGAATTTGGATCCTTGACTTGAAAATGTAATGAGTAGTAACCTGTGCTTAAGAATTATCTGTAACGACGTGTTTACCTTTTTATTCTTTTGTATGTATTCTGGTTAAAAGCATTTGTTCCTTTAGAAAGGGATCAGTCTTACTAAATACCACAGAGCCAGCCAACACCTAAGTTTTGACTCTTACAAAATGCAGGGCTATGAATTCCACGTCTGAGTTCACATCCCTGTGGCTGACGGAAGGCGGTATCTAAGTTCTCCAGGAGTGAGCTGTCGGGTTGTATGTTCCACCTCTGAGGATTTGGTTCCTAATGAATATTTAGAAGTGTGGCAATGAAGGCTCTGGGAGGTGACGAGTGCACAAAATCACCAGGGGACTGTGACGAAATGTCTTTACGATATATACTTAAGAGTACCATTGGCTTCTGAATGCTAAAAAGAAGCCTGGTCTCCAGCATATGTAATCTTTAAACTATTAAGAAAATATAACCAGGAGCCTCCCTGGAGGCACAAGGGGTTAAGTCTCAGCAATATGAAGCTGTCTGCAGCATGAGTTTCATCCTGGCCAGGGAGCTACCCACATGGCGCAGCAGGCCTCTCCTGTCTTGACCAATGCTCCCCTCAGCAGTGCATTTCAGTCCATCTGCCTGTTCTGTTCCCCACTCTGTCTCTGGTGAATCCTCTCACCCCCCTCACCTCTGGCCTACCCCCCAGCTCTTCTATGCATAAATGAATGTCTTTTTAAAAAAAAAGAAAATATAAGCAGCACCTGGGGCAGATGCAGGTTCAGCGCGTCTACAGGAAAGGGCCTGTGGCAGAGAATGAGCCTGGACGACACGCAAGAGCTGCTCACTGGAGACAAAACCAACACTAGGGGCGGGGAGGGGATACGAAGGCACAGACCCAGGCTACAGGTCACCCTCCTTTCCATTGCCAGACTCTTTTGCTTCAGACAACGGGAAAACCTCTTCCTCAACATTTCTTCTAGAGAATGAGGATATGGATAGCTTCCATTTTCTGAAAGTTCTGCCTATATCACTCCACTTTTATGATAGACGTGGGTACCTATTTTCACCAATAGGAGGAAAGCCAAAAAACGGGTTTTCACTTTTACAACATATGGAAATGGAAATTGGCATCAACGTTGGTTTTCAGCACATGTTCCAGAGGCAGTGAACACCCTGCCCAGCAGGAGTGGCGGCCAAGCGCCTGCCCCGGAATGACTTTTTTTTTAAAGATTTATTTATTCATACATACAAGAACCGGGATACAGGCCAGACGCACGGGAGGGTGAGGATTCACCGGAGACAAAGCAGGGAACAGAATAGGCAGACTGACGAAATACACTGCTGAGGGGAGCAGCGGGCGTGACAGGAGAGGTCTGCCATGTTATGTGGGATTCTCACCAGCCGGCTGGGATCAAACCTGCACTGCAGAGGCCATGGATAGCTTCACAGCGACACGCTCAACTGACTGCACCACCAGGGAGGCCCCCCCTCCAATGGCTTTATACAGGTGCGTGTTTATCACATCACTACTGCTTTTACTATGTGTGAGTGCTATTTTAGGTTTTATGTATTATTTGGTATGATTTGGTAGGTTATTTGGGGGGTGTGGAAGGGCTCCAAATATTTCCATAGAAATAAACGATGATTGTTTGCTTCTCACTTTAAGCCAGTTCTACTCAGGAAAGGTTTAGAGGAAAGTTCTAGTTTCCCATCGTGGGGGAAACCTGTAATACATTTCATAGAGTTTTGTGAAGATAAAGGTGCTTCATGTGAAGTATGTTGTGCTACATGCAATACATGTTAGCTATAATTTCTATTAAAAGTTTCCTACTTTATGGACCTGGCTCAAGTCTGACTCTATCACCCAACCTTCTTACTGAGGCCTGGTTCCTACTGCAGGTGACAGTAACCTCTCACCCCTCCACCTTGCTCCAGGTTCTGTAACACTCAGCTCTGTCGGCCTCAGTGCACCCTACCTGATGGTTCCACCTCTTTTTAAGCCAAAGATTTCTACTTTGCCCCATGTTCTCTCATTCTTCTGTACCTTTGCCCATGCTAATCTCTCAGCCTGAAACAGGCTCCGTGGGGGTTATTCACATGGCCAAAGGCAGGCAGGTCGTGAGTGCCTCTGTGGCGGAGGCTTGGGACTCTCCTACTCTCTAACTCCCCTGTATTCTTTATACACCTGGCGTGAAGACTTGTGTGCCTTTGGACTTCAGGAAATGTCTATTTAAAAGTGGGGAGAGTGGCCTCCCAGGTGGTGCAGGGGTTAAAGTGTCAGCGCTATCAAGCTGTCGCCAGCCACTGTAAGTTCCATCCCACATGGCACAGCAGACCTCTCCTGTCTCAGCCACTGCTCCCCTCAGCAGTGTCTTTCGGTCCTTCTGCCTGGTCTGCTCCCCACTCTGGTGAGTCCTCTCACCACCAGCACGTCTGGCCCACACCCTAGTTTTTCTGTGCATAAAATAAATCTTTACAAAAATAAAAGTGGGAAGAATGTAGGATTTGGCCATTATGTAGGATTAATGTAGGATTTGGCCATTATACTACCATTTTAACAATCCAAAAAATTAATAGTAGTAAATAGCCAGGGGAGACTGTGCAAAGTGAGGTGACGTTTATGCCAAACCCAGAACCAGGGCAGGGGTGGGGCTGCTGGGCTAAGCTGAAGGCTGTCTTATAATGCTTTGACTCCTTAAAGTGTCATTCATTAGTGCAGATTTTTCTGAAACGTGTGACCTGATCTTCTCTTGTAAGGAATAAATCACAGATTAGAGGGCCTGTGTGTCCATTTAACTTGAGA